GCGCTCCAAAGTTTGGCAAACCTCAGGATTCCCGTGGACAAAGCGCCAAAAGTTCCGGAGCATCGTATAAGCCCGGCTAAGCTGCGGATGCACGAAGCTAGGCTGGGAGAGAAAACAAAAGACCAGCATCTTGGATCTCCAATGAGGCCGATTCTCCCACAGCACAGTGGCAATATCGCTTTGAAAGTCGCTCAAGGCCTTCTTCGGGATATCTGAGATCTCAGCTGCAAAAGAGCATTGTGGGATGATCTTAGCAGCAATTATCTTGGCTTTGGATTTGCGAGAGATAGGAAGAGCTCCAATGTTCCGGATGTCAGTGCGGATTTTCTCCACACGTGCATGTGAGAAACAATAGGCATTTCGCTCTGAAGTATAAATGATTGCCCCAAGGGCATCAAATTCAAGAACGAGGGGGATTTCGGGGAACAAGGACTTAGCATCTTTCCGAGCTTGTTTGGAAGTGGCCCATAGATTGCACTTAGACTGATTAAGCTTCTGACCGACAAGGACGTTCCATTGTGTGGTCATGTCAAGAGCAATACGAAGTTGTGCAATGTGGTCAATGTGTGCCCACAAATAAGCGTCATCTATGAAAGCTCTACAAGACACATGTGGGATGAGCGACATAAAGCGCGCCCAAACAGCCATGTATACATTAATGGCAATCAAAGATAAGCTACAACCTTGGGCAACCCCATTTGCGGCGGTAGAATGCCGTCTAGCAACCCAGCCCCTATACGAAATGTGTTTCTTGAATCCAGCATACATGCGAAGGAAAACACTAACAATTCCTTTGGGAAGCCCAAACGCCAAGAAGAGAGCACCGGCAACACTTGGGATGATACGGTCAAAACATTTGGACTGGTCTAATTTGATACCAACAATATCATGGGCTTGGGCTTGGGCGGCATCGAGTTCGAGCCGGAGACCAACACTAATGGACGACATGTCACGACCTTTGATGCCACCACAAAGCTGTCTTGGCATGGTATGTTGTTGCCAATGCTGAAGTTGGCGGAATCTAGTACCAGTATATGCAAGGATCATTGGTGAGAGAATTGTGATAAGCCTCTTGTTGAGGGGCGTGGAGGGACCCGGTTTATTAAGAATAACCTGCTTAACCCGAAGAAGCACCTCAGGTATGGACGAGTCACAATTATCTTCCAAAGTTTTGAAGAAGTCGGCAATGAGGTCGCAGCACACGATGGGAAGGCAGTGCATGTCGGTTGTGCGCCAGCCATCGAGACCCGGTGCGGCCATTGGGTTTCGGTGCTGAATTGTCTGTTGGATGTCACTGCCCGAAAGTCGTGGCAACTCAAGAGCAGGAATGCTATGATCCATGTAAGGCCAAATAACACCAAGGACATTGAGGGGTTCCTCATGAAGGACGTTGGCCCCAAAAACCTCATCCCAAGTATCATTAATGGATTCCATGGCAGAACGCGGGTTAAACAAGATCTGGCCCTGAGGGTCCAATACAAGATTAACGGGTTCATCCAGGGATTTATTTTTGAGATGATGGTAAATGTGCTTCATGGATCCTTGTTCAGAAGACTTGATCTTCTCTTTCCAAGCTTGGATACGGCTGGCCTTTTTATGGTGCTCCCACAGAGCAGCTTGCTCTTTAACCCATTGGATGGAAGCGGAGACTTCCAGTAGTGAAGGGAGTTGTTTCGAATCCCACTTCACAGGTGCATGAAGTATGTGCAAAGCTCTAGAACATTTACAGGCAGTCTGGTGGGTAATTCTCGAATCAGCTCTTGAACCCTGCGCACGGTTCAAACGGATAGCAAGTTCACCAAGACGTCGAAGGCAGTTATATAATTGGGAGCCTTTGGAAGCAACGGCAGACCCTTTGGGTGTCTGACCGGGGCAAAAAGCTTTGGTGCTAAACTTGGGGAGTGTACCCCGAGACTGTTGACCAAAACCCCATTTGGCACCAGCGAGAACAAGGGTATCGGTGCAAACACGGTTGACCTCAGCCCACTTGGACTCGACATCTGGAAAATCCTGCAAATGTGTTTGAGGCGAAGGGCAAATTTTTTGAGCGATTTCGTTGACGAAGGTCGCCTCTTTGGAATGGCCCTTAGGTAGAAAGGAAGTACCCAAAGAAGCAGTTTTGATGTGAATGTCGCCCCGGACATGGACTCGGTCCCACAAAAAGGATGCATGGATCGGTCGGTGTTGGGAACCCCCTGTTTCCACAACATCACACGATTGAAGAGCCGAAAAAGCAACATGATTCATCAGAATGCCATCGATTGAAGAACACCCATCACCGGCCCCGGCGAAGGTTCCGTCGGACGAAAAGGTCAAAGGCCGAAAAATGGTGCCCTCGGAATCAACAGTCTGCAAGGGGTCGAACCAGCGATGATAGTGCAGAGCAGAAGCGACCGACGGGTAATTTGAAGGGCAAGTTTGAAAAATCTCCGGCAATCAAGATAGGAATGTCTCCGAACTGAGCACAGATTTCAAACACATCCTTCAAGAGGGCTTCATTTTGGTCAAACAATTCCTGGTTGGCGGAAGCACCAGAATGAGCATAAATGGAGAAAACCAAAACTCGCACGGAGGGTGAGACTTGCGACCAGCAAGCGCACACCCTGGTGGTCTTAACAAGGGAATCATATTTGTTGGATATGTCATCGGCCTGAGTGAAAGGTCTGGTGGTGGTTTCAGGTGCCAAAATGGCGGTGCCACCATGAGTGGTTGTGAGGTGGCCGTCGGTCCGCAGGATCCCAGGCAAAAGAGCTCCATGAAACATGTGCTTACCTGTGGCAGCAACCTCTTGTGCACATGTGCGTTGATTATTACGGCCGAGCCTAGTTTCTTGAAGGCAATGATTGTGTTGTCAGTGTTTCGCCACAGTTGAGAGGTCTTGATGCTGCCAACATTCATTGACGACATGGACCAACGAAGAGGAAAAGGTGGCCTGGGTCCTTCCCCCGGGTATCCTAAGGTGGCATCGAACTCAACAGAATCCCATTGACCGATCCGGAAGAACCGGAGGCACAAAGTCGGAAAGTCTCTTTGGGAAAAGCAACAATGAATTGTAAAAGATGAAGCAAGGCAAGAGAACCCAACATAAACACAAATGTCATGCTCATAAAACAAAGAAAGACTGGGCGGGATGGCGACGATCGAACTGCAGCGCGGCCAGCAACAATCTTTTCCCTCACACATCGGAAAGGTAGTTGGGTTTCTAGCCATGTGTGGCATGGCATGCAAAAGGCACTCGGAACACACTTTAAAGTGCATTGATGAGTAAAGGCTCCTTGCACTATCGCGACAATCGATCCTCAATGGCTGAGACCAACATGTAAAATGAGACCAGAGATCCAAATCTAGTAAATACGTGGAATCGAAAACAGAGATTTGGCCATCGTCGGACCGGCACGATAAAGGACAGCATGGGAAGAGCCCACGCTCTGTGCAACTAAGTGATGCAAATACGAAAGAAAACCGGGTCAGGGCGGCAACCCAAATGGCAATCACATAAAGACAAAGTTGGAACCAAAACAAAATGACAAAGTAAAACAGAAAGCAACAGTTGGCTGCAACACCGCATGGGCTGCGCATCCCGCCCGCGATCTGTCAGGCCTCGTGTTTCTGGACCTTTGCAGCCGGCGTTTCACCCGTGGGTTCACGGGTGCGCGTGGCTTGTGCAGCTTGCAAAAGCTGTCGGAGGGAGTTTGAAATGTCGTCGAATTTGGCATCGAACTTGTCTTCAATGCGTGTCTGGCGACACTCCATGGCATCAAATCTTTGCTCCAACTTCTCCAGCCGAGCATTGTCAGGCCCTGGTGGCCCTGGCATGATGCGCACCTCCGCCGGCTTCACAGCAGCTTTGGGGGCAGAGACCTCTGTCTTCTTGGCTTTGGTAGCGGATTGACTGCTCCTCCCTAAGGGCTTTGGAATCGGGCCAGCAGGCTCTTCGACGAGCAGGATTTCATGGGTGATCCCGTTGATCTCCAGAGCGAACTTAAGCACGGTGGGGCGATGCTCGAATGCGATGAGCCAACCGTGCACTCCACTTGACCTGAACGCTTTTGTCGGAATAGGTGGTTGTCCGACGGCTTTCGTGACTGCTTGCACAATGTTCGGCGGGTCAACAGCGGGCGGCCATCCCGTAGACTTGTAGGAAAAGCGAGGCACAACGGAGATGTTTTCAGTTGTGATTCTGCTGTCGGATGGGATGACTGCCTTTCGCATATAGGCCACATTGTTTGTCCACGATCTGACGGCGAGTCCTCGCCTTGTGATGATCACACCAGCAAACCCAGCCACCTTCTGAGTGACGATGAGGGCCTCGTGCAGGTTCTGTGGCGATACATCCCAAAAAACGGGGGATGACAGTGAGGTCCGTGCTTTGCTGCCCGTTCTCGACAAAATCTCGAATGAGCAGCTGGGAGGACCCACTTCCTTGGAGCAGCTCAGGCCTGTTCTTTTTTCGGCAACTTGACGATACACTGAAATTGAGCCTCGCCAGGTGCAGCTGTCGGATGACGGCCGGCACGGAAAGCGTAGAACTGCATTGTGTCCTTCAAGTCAATTTTTCCCACTTCTTCATGTTTTAGCTCGCAGGGATCCCCAAGACTAGAAACACACCAGGGTTGAGCGACAGTGGATAATGATTCTACTCTGCAGTGAGTGATTTTACAAACAAGCAACTCATCATGCATTAGTTACCGGGAATGGGAAAAGGTTAGTAAGTGGTATCAGTTCTTAGGTATAGTATAGTTGAGCATCGACTTAGTCGGCGACCACAACCAATTGAATACGGACTGCTAGGCTTGGACACCCATCCAATCACCCATCCAACGGCCATCGGATATTGCAGGGTCGACCCCAGCGCAAACACACGACCTCGAGGCCGGCATGAGGAGCCACGAAGAGACTTTGCTCCACCTCAGCCACGCGCATGTCTGGGGTATGTTTATATGTTCTTTGTAAAAGCCTTGACAAGTATCATGCTATGTCGTGCTGCAACTCCACTTTTTGCTCGCGCATGTGGCACAGGAGCACCCCAATGTTTTTGGGCACGACGGCAGGCTAAATGCGCCGCTTTCAAGCCAACATGTGCCGGTCGACTCCGGCCAGGTTTCTGGTTTGATGCCTTGATCAAATCTTCTGACAGTGTTTTGGTTTAAGTACTGACAGTATTCCTCTCCACAGTAGATGCGACGATCGCATCCGCATTCGAGGAGGGAGACCGTCCCATGACGTCTTGGCCCGAGCGGATCCAGGAGCCACCTGGTGCCAAGGTCTGCCAACGTCTAGGACAAAAGGTTGCCCCATAACGATGCATGATACAGTCATACATACAGTAGTGATTTTGGGATCCGCAAGTGATGTTAGCATATGCATGGAGTGTATGTCTCTCCATAGTTTCTCAAGCGTGTTCACTGATTCCCTCTCCAAAACAACATGCAAACTCCCCCACCGGGGTTTCAGGCGTAACAGTATGCATGTATGTATGTATATATATATATACACACTGTATATCATATGTGCTCAGACCGCTGTACTTTCTCTTTGGGGCTCAGTGAATCTCAGCACGTTCACCAGTGCTTTTTGCGAGGTTTTCTCTCTAGAATTAGTGAACATGTTCAGTTTGTGCCTGCGTGTATATATACAGTGTATGTATATATATATATGCACTTGATTGAACCCTTGCTCCGTACAGCATATATTCTATATATATTATAAAACATATACCTAGTGCCTCAAATGCTCCCGTGTTTGTATCACCAAATCCCGCAACATGAGCAACAACCATGTTTACATGTTCTCCAACGGATCTTCCATCCTAGCTGCAGTGGGTCCACTCGTGACTGGTTGAGGGTGCTAGTAGAGGTCTTTTTTTTTCCATGAATAGCACTCCAAGGGTTAGCTTAGTCACTATGAATATGGTCTGGTATTCACAAAGTACAGGTGAGTGCGTCTGAGTCATCCAAACCATCAAAACACATAAACAATATATATATATAATTGTATATATTAATTCTTCTGATGTTCGAGATGTCGCCTGGGCATCTCGGATCATGGAAGGGCAATCTCATCATCCAGTGCCACAGATTCAATGTCAGCCATCAGTTTGGCATAGGTCTCCTGACACATCTGACACGTCTCTTCACCGTCGCAACACGACACGGTCATACTCGTTTTCCGACCAAGCGTGAACCGCGCTCCTGGAAGGCGTCCTCTTCAGTCTGCCACCTGAAGTGAACGAAAACAACAGGACAAACTGCAAGCTTTGCAGCTCCCAAACACTGAAGGGTCGGCAAGTACTACATTTGGCTACCTTCAATGGTTGTAGGTCATGGTTGCCATGTATGGAGCGTTTGTGAAAAATTGAAACTGTTGAGAGCGACCCTGGTATGACTTGGATTCACCTATCCTCTGATTCTCCTAGGACCTAGGACCTTGTCAGTGAACTTTCCTGTTCGACCGTTAACAAATGACCCACCCGGCTCTTCATTGTTTCAATGGATTCATCACCAAAGTGTTTGTCCTCTACCAGCCCTCCATGCCCCTGACCACACGCACTCTTGCCTGGTTTCGCCCGGATGGGTCTGGTTCTGCCTCAGTGGGCGGAGGCAAAAGGTGATGTTCAGCTCGTCGTGGTCCCAGGGGATTTGGGAAGCAAAACGATTCGAGTTGTCCTGTTAGTTTCCATTCAATATTAACTGGATTATGATTATGTATGTAAAACATATGTATAAAGCATATATATTAACCTGTATCTCAGTTTGTACATGTTTGTACACACCCGTTTTGGGGGTGCGAAGACTCTTCCCCACTGGTTCAGTGTCTGTGTTGGTTGAAGGGGCGGCATCTGACCATTCCTATAGAGGAGTTTGGTGCACCCCTTGTGCATGTGTCATTTCCTCAGCATCTGCCGCCCTCGGGCTGTACCTCCTCAGCTCTTTGGCGTGCTGGATCTAAATACCTTCGAAAGGAGCCCTCCTGGGACCTGAATCACATTCCGGCGATGCACCGTCTCGTCTCACTCCGGCGATGCAGCTCGCGGGCCAACGTCGTGGTTGAGCCGGGCAACTCTGGAGGACCGGCATCCGGACTCTCCTCGGGCTGCCTGGCAGGTCGGGGGTCCTGAGATCGGGTGGCTTTTGATCATTGACATGTGAAGGGTTTGCTCGAGGACCTTGTTTTATGTGACCTGCCGATCCTAGATCGCCAATCTCATGCCATTTCGGTCACTTTGCCTCCAAAAGACCAGCCTCTGAAGGATCTCGTGCCATTTCTGTCGTAGCTCTGCCACCGACTCCTGCTGTTTGGCGCGCGTATCGGCAAGTGGATGACCAACAACCAGATTCACCGAAGAGCCGAACAACTTTTGCAATCTTTTGCCTCAGGTGGCTAGTCAGCTATGAGTTCAGCCCTTGATTGAAGATGCCCCATGGGTTTTGAGAACCTCACCACCGCGTTTTGCCCACAACGTCCATCGCCGCTGAGATGTGCTGAATCTGCCCAACTACGTGTTGGTCGACTTTTTTTGGGTGAACCCACCGCGTGCGAATGAAACCGCTCAGATGGATGTCGTCCATTCGGGTCACCTACGTTTTGTGTCCGACGGCATGGATGCCTACCTGTCGGATTGTGTGTGTGTGAAAGGACTGGGACAATGTGGAGTCCTATACATGACACATGTTTCAAAAGCAGTCGATCGATTCTGAAAGGTGAATAAACAACACAATTTCCTATGCAAGGAAGCCATCTTTAATTGAACATACACTGCAACTGGGTCCATCGGATCTATCCTGCAACAGTGGATGACAATCGCTAGTAAAAACCTTGTTCGAAAAATAGTGATGTTTGCATATGTTTGCTGACTGTTACCGGTAATAGGACAACCCCAAGTGCATCCAAATGCAATATACTGTACTGTAAACCCTAGGCTTCCAACCACCATTAATTTAATAGCTTTACTGAATCAACTAAGGATTTTAGACCACAAAAACCAGGTCAACCATTGTTTTAATTGTCTTGGACGTCTAGCAATCATTTAAATTCCTTTTCTGCATGGTATTCCTTTTCTGCCGAGCGAGTTCACTTCTCTACTCCGCGACACGTGTGGACCTCCTCGTTGAAACAGTGAGGGGCGCCCCATGATTGGCTCATACAGCTCCCGAGCTTTTAGGCATCCAAGTGTCCTGGTTGCTGTCTTCACTCAGCCCGAAAAAAAACCCTGGAATGCTCCACCCCCATCCTGGGCTAAAGCTCGTGCACGGTCATCTCCCGCCAATGACTTCAGCCTGTGGGAGAATTCAATTCGACTCTCTGCCATGAGTCCAAAAATGTCATAAATCAACCAAAGAATTGACCCTGGCACAATTAATCCAGTGCAAGGATGGTTGGATGGTCAGATGATCGGATTCGTATTAAAGGGTATTCTTGTAGCGCCTATATAAACCACCCGAAATGGGGTGGCTTTTTTGCAATACTACTGTATATATCGATATATAGAGTCTTTGCAGCCAACCCGCACCACACCGAATCCTGTGATTCTGCTCCACCCCAAAAAAAGGAACACGTCGTCCTTCCCCCCACTGGGCAGAACGAGTGTTTGCGATCACTGGGACCAAAGGAGTTGTCTGAAGCAACTCCGCCCGAGCTTCGGTGGGGCGAAAAAGCTGTGAAAGCCCTTGAAGAAATACATGAACATGATTGAACATCATTGAACATACCATCTCAAAAAGTGAATCACCCCTGGTAACATGTACCATCTGGATACATCTGGTGTAAACGGACGACGTGAGTCCGAAACGGACGACTTCTCTGAACGAATGCTGCTTGGGACCCGGTCTCTTCCGCTTCGCTCCGCTTCGCTTGGTCTCGGGCCGATGGAGATCCAAGGGTGAGGCGTTCTCACCTGGCGAGTCGGGGTGTCGCCCGTATTGGCGTGTCAATGTTCTGACCCCTTTAGACGTCCAAAGACCTTTAGACCGTGAGTCCTGGTAGAAATTGGTCTAAGGAATGGTTCAGTTTCCAGGTTTTCAGGTTCTAGAAAACGATCACATCCAGGAGATCCACCTCAATCCTGCGGTGAAGATGGGTGTGGAACAGTCCTTGCCTACTTTTGCATGTGATTCAACCCATTCAGACCCACCCATCACAATGTACTATACCGACCTGTTACAGTAAATCACACCGTATTCCCTCTTTAACCCCAACTCTGAGATCAATTGTGGCTGTTTTGGAGGTGCAAAGGCCGCGCAAATCCGGGGCCTACCTGGGTTCCGTTCAGCTAGACTAGACGCTCCACTGATAGAGACCCTGTGTGGTCATGACTCGTGCCGCACGTTGGGCGCGGCGGAGCTCCGCCTAAGAGCTCGAAGCGGATCTGGGCCAGTTGTCGAGAGCTCTCACGCACCTGCGATCCATCTTCCCAACAGTTGCAAAGAGTGGGAGGTGAAGAGACAGGTATCACTTCAACAAATGAAATGCGTATTCTTAGTAGACACCTATATATACATAGATTCTATCACTGGTCTGTCTACCTGGCCATTGTCAGGGTCTAGCCTATATATATATGTATAGAGAGACTATATATGCCTATTATATTATACCTGCCTATTATAATACCACAACCCCCCGGCCCATTTTGGGGTGGTTCATGTACACACCCTTCAGTGCTAGGGGCCAGGGGCTATAAATAGACACCCCTTGGGGGCTTGGGAAGTCCGGTATAGGTGTTAATTATATCTCGCCAGCTCCTAATGTTCAGGGTCCATTCTGGGAACCCTGGGGCGATGTATCCCTCAGGTGGCGATGGGATCCTCGCAGCGGCCGAGGTTTCTGCGGAACTGCCACCACTTGCTTGGGCCAAGGACGATGCTGCAAGTATTGAAAGAATTGATGCCTTGCAAATGCTTTTTGTTGTTTTGCGCTTTGATCGAATTGTGTTTTTATGTGTTTTTAAATATATAGTCTTAATGGTTCACCACCTGGTTCCTATATGTATGACAATTTATACAACTGCTTGGTACCCTGGGTGAGTTCCAAGCCAGCTGGTGGCCCAGGCGTGCCGGCCTTCGCTTCCAAGCGCGTACCTGAGATTTGGCGGATCCAAGAATCTGCAAAAACTGTACGTGTTCGCAGTAAAAACACAAATTCCCCCAGACTGTGGCTATCTGGGCTTTTGTTGTCTGGATTTTTAGGATCTCAAAAAGAACTCGGATTGTTCAAAGGTTTCAAGACTAGGAGCAAGGACGCTACTAGGGGCTCCTGGCCTTACTACTAGGAGCGATCCGACGCTACTCTAGATTCGTTGAGTCGGGTCTGACGGCCACCAGAGTCCGGTCCAGGTCTGGGGAAGGTCATGGCAGTCCATGGCACCGGGGCACCCCGGTGGACCCTGGGTCACATGCACCGATTCCTCGATGTTTCGGGACGTCCAAGTGGAAGTCAAGCTCCCATGCGTTTGGTGGGGCACGTGCCATGACGAATTTCAGCCAAGGTTAGTAGTTGTTGAACCAAAGGAACTCACGATCGATCCAACGTTCGCCCTTCCAAAGCCCTTCCAAGCAGTGGGTGCCTGAGGAAAGTGATGCACACACAAACAAATATTTGATATAGCCTAGCACAAAAACATGCTGCTACCACCATACAGTAAAAGTGATTTAAGAGACGGCATGATGGGCATGATGCATGTACTCAACATCAAGAGATGTGTTGTGTCAAATAAGAATTATTCACTTTCTGATAAAGGTTCCACAAGGAGCAACACTTTGCAAAACGAGTTTCATTTCAATTCAAACATTCAACACATAGCATTGATTGGGTAAGGATGCATACTCGGTCAAGACTTCCAGAAGCTCGGCTGTGTGGAATTGATGGTCGTGTCGACATACTCCCAACAAAACTTCGATGGAAGCCCAAGCGAACTAGTGAGGGGGCAGCTGTCTTCTTGTATCTAAGAAAAGGGCACTGCATGGAGAGTACTTCGAGATAACGGACTATCGCTCGAAGATTGTTCGCTTGGTGCCACAAACTTCGAGATTATGTTTGCTTTTTCTGAGCCAAAGGCAAAAGGCTTTTGTTTATCCTAGAGATCACACAATAGAGTACAAGTTTATACCATGTCACCCAAACATCATCCGACTGTACAAGGATATCTGCATGACACCGAACGTGTTTGATCTATTTTGGGTCTAAAGAAATGCAGAAATCCGACCAAAGCAGCCAAGCTGAGCTCGCAAGGACACCCAGGTGGGTTTCTGATGGAGGCTCCCTTAACTTATTTTCAGGGTGCATGTAACAACAGCCAGGAATAATTTTCTCGAATGCTCATCAGGAATAATTGGCTTGGGGTCCCTGTGCCAGGGGAGTGGGGGTCACCCAGGAATGATAGTTACCACTAACCTCGAGACCAAGGAATCATTAGAAAAAGAGACCGGACTGCAGGGAAGAAAGAGAGAAGCGTGGAAAAGGAGTGCCAAATTCCTTTTGCTTCCAACAACTTGCAACAACGACTTCCAGCATCAACATTGCACGCTATAGCTGAAATTATTTGTTCTCTGCTCCAATACCCTGGATTAATAAAAGTTGGGTATGTACTCGGGCCCCACGCTATCCATGCTCTGGTCATGCGCTATCAAAGGTCCAAACAAGCTCACCAACCTCCCACTGAACTAAGATCTCTTTATAGTATATGCATCGGGCGTATTGTGCTCATATTGCTCAGCTGCTTCTTGCTCTTGTTCCAATTTGAGTTTAGAATGAAAGGAAATACAAAATTCTATCAAATTCTGCCAGATACATGATCTGCTTGCATATATGGCTACGCTGTGAATTTTGATTGGCTGCTCTAGGAGCACAGTCATATTGTACTTATGCACAACTTTGGCGGGTTCGTCTGCAAGTGTATTGCCTAAAATTGTACATAATCATCACGACTCGTAGCATCAGCAATTAGAACGGTGTGGTTTCACAATGCATATACTAGTTCGATGGAACAGTGGATTCCACTCGGAGACAAGACATTGCACCAAATCTGAATGAGCGAGATGTCATGCACGGTGCGTCTAGGGTATTGTCAGCAATGGCCTCCACACTCTTCACAACAACACTGGAACCGACTGGAACCCGTATTTAAAAAACAGCGTTATGTTTTCTGGCCGATGTTGATGGAAAATTGTCTGCGTCATGTGAAACACTCCAGTTTGACACGATTTATGGGATGTCTGAGACACTACAAAGGTCAACGATCTTCTGCATTTCTTTAAACTTGCTGAATGACAGCCCATGCCACCCGGCAATTTTTTTGATTTTGTGGTCTATCACACATGCCATCAGTAAAGAACACGAAATGTTCGGCATCTCGAATGTCTGGATCGTCCAAAAAAAGGCCACCGTCGACAAATGTTCAGGCGATTATATACAATCTATTTGCTTGCTGTATGCAATTGTGCAAGAGAACACCCGAAAAGGTTTGGAACATCGCTTCAGAAGGTGCAGCTCTCACATGTTGAAACCTTGGGCATTCAAGATGGCATTGTAAATCTGTGCACGGCGAGCTGCGGCGAGTGCCCTTCAAGTTGCTCAGCTCCGGCGCACGACGACCGGGTCGTGTCTGCGCCTGCACAGTCCACGACTCTTCCGATCTTGTAACTCGGAGGTGGTGCGATCCTGACTGTCGTGTGCTAGGAAGCTACGGCTGCGCCTTTGATAGCGTGTAGCCATCTGTATTTCTTGACACCATCTCTGCACACAAGCTCTCAAGCTCAGGCTTCTTGGGTTTCGCAGGGCATGTGACCTCGGGCATGGAATGCCATGTGGCTGAGTGGCTGGTAGTGATCAAGCCGCTCTTGGCTTCTGTCAACTTGTTCAAAGTGTCCACGCCGTCCACCGTGTGTTGACTTGGGCATGTGCAACACGCTGCGATGGCTCCAGCAAGCTGGGCTGATTCCTCCATCAACTTTGCGACAAATCTACGACTTTTGGAGGCATCCGTGTTGTACCCAAAGTGATGGCTTATAAATCTTACTGTATAAATTATAAACAAGCAAATCCTACCCCACTAGGGGTTGGTGGTGCAAGAGAACTGAGATTTCTGTAGGATTTGCTATGGCAGGCAAAATCAAAACATCGAAACTGCCATCTCAGGTACTCTGACGATCCAGCTTGAAGAAGTTCTGCAGCTGTTCGCTGCCCTCGAGCAGCGTGGGCGTGGGCATGTCACGGCTGGGCAAAATGGACATGACGCCCAAAAACGATGTGTTGTTTGTAGCAGCATGCGAGTCAAGATGTGAAGAAGCATAAACACATATAAATACTGGATTCAACCCAAGGCATTTGTAGAGGAAGGTAGTCTTGCTTCCGTGGCCATGCCATCCACTTCCATGCAAGTGAGTCAGAGTCAGAGTCGTGTAACATAGTGTAACTATAAGCAGTATGGGGTCCTCATACAATCTGAATCGAAACAAAACCACCAAAAGATTATACTTTGCATACAAATTGTTTTGACATGACACAGCGGATTGATTCCGGTGTCTTCATTCAGACCCATCGAAGACTCCAAGAGTTGGGTTTCTTTGAAAAGCGTCAACAGACTCTATTGGAAGTGAAACAAAACAACATTGGACGACAAAGAAACACTACTTTCCCAATATCAAACAATGCGGTGGTCCACTTCCCCAAGCTTGGAGAATTGAACAGCTGGATGGATGCGCCGTGGCCAATGGCTACAACGCGGCCGATCTGCCCCGATCCATCGAGTCGCATCGGCGACTCTTTCAATCTGAAAGGTGCCAGTCTTTCCCGGTCCAGGATACCGGTGGAAGCCATGCAGTCCTGCGATCAACACAGAAAAGCCATGCAGTAGCCCCACCTGCACATCCACGTCCGAGGCAGAGTCATCTTGTTCTTCCGGCCTGGTAGCCACGGCAGTGCGGATGAACAGATTCGTTGCTCAGAGATACCCCTGCCAAACAACGTGTCCACCAGCTCACAAATGCAGAACCTGTCCATGAATACAGTACGTACATCGACACTCCAAGCCCGCAAATGTCCGCAAGAGTTTTCTTCACTGCTAAAAGAACAGAGTATGCAGTATATACATGCTTTCGATACCTAGGCACCAAAACACCTGTTATTGTTCTTCATTGGCTGAATCACAGTCACATTTTGTCATCCCCAGTTCACCAGTCAAAAATCCATGGTCTCAATGGAGACAGCGAGGACTGACCAGGTTTAGCAAAGAAACAGCTGCTCTTAGTTCCGGAATGATAGTCATCGTTTTGCGCGGACAACAGGTGGTCATCGTTTCTGCTACCAAACATGCACATGAAATCCAAACAGGAGACGCTATCGGACATGTTGTTTTATTGAAATCCAATATTATAATACTTGTTGAATCATGCATATTGTGTTCATGTCATTTGTTGATCCCAGCCATTGAAACAAACTGCTGTCAACACAATGAATTCTACTATAAACACAATCTACCAAACCCATCCTTAAAGTGGGATGAACACTCTGACTCTGGAGAACACCGGGCAGACCCAACATGTCCGTCTATCTGTGTCACACTCAGTCTCTCACCAGCCCGAAGCACCTTTCTTGCTTGGGAATAAACATCTTCAACTGCAGGATCAAATTCCATCGCTTTTTTCGTTCCAGAACAACACATCAACCCTAAACCCTAAACCCAATCACTTTGTCCAACTCATGCCAGCAAGGACGCCTGTCCAACTGGACAGAACTGGGCATCCCTCCCAAACCGATTCGCCAAGGGCGCGGCTTGACCAAGTCCCTGAGCTCGTCGACTTTGGGACTTCGTGGCGACCCTTCGTCGCCCTCACCGGGCGCACGCGCAGCATCGTCGCCTGGCGGCGCTGATGAGTCAAGCGGAAAAAGGCCACGTTGAGGGCATAAGAGTTAGGAAAAAGGGGATCTTTGCGCTGATGAGTCACTGATGAGTTGTCTTTCATCACATTACACCTTTGGGATCCTTTGGGTATTGGTGGTTCGTAGATGGCATGTTTTCTTCCAACAAACACTGGTCGAGTAGCCCGTGGCAGGTGACAAATGCTGTTTGTTGTGTTTGTCTCAGCATTGTCGGAAAGGAGGCCCTTTATAGTTTGGGGCATGTGGCACTACTCCCCCAAGTGATCAAAGACTCAATCGCCTGCTTTGGTTAATCTGTAAATGTCCATCGCAAAAATTAACTAAACTCTCACAAACACCTGATGTTCCACCAGTGTAATTCACACAACCACATGCTTGCTGACTACGAGGTCAGTCCCTTGCCTTGGGGACTCGGACTAACTGACTCACTGGTGCTTTTTTTCGTGCGAAACGTTAACATCATGGTTCTCTCGTCAACCAAGTCATCCTGACCATCTGCGACGCCTGGCAAGCAGCGCGACGGCGATGCGACGCACCTTCCTCCCCAGGATCGCTGTCATCGTGGGTAAAGTCTGCAGCGTGTCGCATACGGAGGTCACCAACTCTTGGGAATTGGAAGGGGAAATTGGATGAAATTGGCACCTCCAGGAACTGCCCTGTGTACTATATACTATATACCCGAAAAAATCTGTGGAAAGTGTGTGAGGGGGGGGCTAACGCTATACAACAAAATCAACAAACAGGGTTGTTAGATGTTGTTAGGAAATGATTGGAAGTCCCTTTGACTCACTACCAGGAAAAAAAGGCAGTCCCGGAGTTCGAGTCTTCTTGCAACTTCAAACAAAAAGCCTTAGGGGAAGTCAAGGATCATGCAGCAAAGCATGGGAACCTGACACACACACACATATATATATACAGTATAATATATATATAGACACCTAGAACCCATGTGACCTCTGTTTTGATAGGAAAAGACCAAAACAGCGGTCAATCAGGTTCTATATAGTCGGTATATATAATATATATATAGGCCCAACGGGTTCTTCAGGGCTTAGGGGCCGACAAGACTCCAAGTGCGTGCCGATAATAGGCCGCCAAGATTGCGAAACCACCAGGAACAAGTCAAACGTGAATTATTTTACATGGAGCTTTGGAATATATATACTAACTTCTGCGGTCATTGAGAAGAGGTGCTTTGGACTTATACTTTAGAGAACATGTATGGCCATCCAGTTTCTTAGAGGAATGCTTAGCAACATGTATCGGCCGAGTTGGAACCGTCCGCAACATCCGTGGCGACCGGCAACGGGCGCGACCTCCGATCGCCGATCGACCCAGTCAGCTGCGATTCCAAACAAAAACATGCCGAACAAATCCCAACATCGTGTCTTGCTCTTTTGATTTGCTTTTAATAAGTGTTTTCCACTGAACAGGGGGATCGGAGTGACTCCAAGAACAGCGGCTCCGGATGCTGTTCTTTGCTGGCTGGGTTGAAGCTTTGATTTGTTATGTGGGATTCCTAAAGGTCCAAGGGGTCAAAAAACATGCGAAGTCACGGCAATTCTGCAAACAAAAAGTGTTTTGTATATTATAGACTATATATGCTTTCAGTTAACCTTCCTCTTCGCAGCTGCATGCTTTTTCGCTTCCGTGCCCTCTGAGTAAAATTTGGCTTAGGACACGGGGACTGCATGGAGGGGCGGCCCTCTCACTTAGCCGAAATCTCCGTGTACGTTAATAGATACACTTCATGCATAACTCTGCAACTGCAGGAGACATAGACAGATAGGGTTGCCCTCAGGAAGTAATTACTGCATAAGCTAAAATATGTATATATATATATATACACATTAAACATCATTAAACATGTACAGTCAGAATGTGTATTTCAGAACTCCACTTGTACACTTGCCACTTGTACACCTCACAACTCCTTCCCCCTTTTGCCAAGACACCCACTGCCGCTCTGGTGACCGCCACTGTCGAAGCTCTCCTTCAGCTGAAAAATTGACATGAGAAAATCTGAGAAAACAAAAACCAACAAGCAATCAAAGTGATGACCTAAAACAACACAGGGACCCGCAGCACCATATTCAAACTCTTCAAATGTTCATTGTTTACAGAACATGGGACGACGGATGAAAACCAACCAACTGCATCAGGCATCAGATTCACCCCTCCGGAACAAAAACGGATTGAACCAGCTGGATGAAGGGTCGTTCCATATCGGTGGTCTTGTCCTCTCCGGGTCTTTTCATTCAAACCCCGGATGGTGGCTTCGACCCGTCAGATGCAGCACTTGGAGCTTCCACGCCCGTCCTGGCACCACGCTTCTTGCCCTGGACGTCGTGGGACCCGAGCGGTAGGAAGCGATGGGAGACACTTGGGAGCTGGAGGTTGCGATCTACCCACATACCAAGGGATGAAGGACCAGCTTCTGAGAAGTGCAGCTAACAGGAACCACCAATTCATATATCATATATCCAGCAATTCTTCGCCCATCCAACTGAGCCTGCGCACCTTGTTGCCGGTCCTTTTCTTGGGTCGGTCGCTGGACACGTGCGTGACGCTCAAGGTGCCTGACGAGCGGAGGTTTCTCAGTTTCAGATGGAGGGGGTTGTGGTGCAAACAGGCATGAGCTGCTTTACTTCTTCTCTGAATCTACTGTGGGGATGGTCCTTCATTGGAGTCAACAAAAGTGAAAAGTGGAAGGATCCACTATATATAGTCACTAGTCCAACAAAGGCTCTGGACATATTCTCCTGACTTGTGGTCCCTACTTGGATGGGCTGTAGTAAATCAAGTGAGTCATGGCGAGATCTCATGAAACATGCATTTAGCTAAATGCATCGGCTTAGCTGACTTGACGGACCATCGTGAATCGAACACAAGGCATGGCATCCGTCCTACACATATATGTACCGCACAGCATCTCTCATCGTCTCCCATCGTCTCCCATCGCACCATCCGCAGGCCTTTCCGAGACAGGCTGCCTTGCCCAGAGGTGTTGGACTTCTCCTCTGCCCCGGAGCCACGCCGGGAGGAGGGCATCTTCACCACCACACCGCTGTCGTCGGAGGAGGCCCGGGAGGAGGCGGCCGAACCGGGGCGCGACACCTGTGCCGGTTCGGATGCTGAGGATGGATGGAGAGAGTTCCAGGAGCCTGGAGCGCCAAGAGTGATGGGAGGCGAAGCGCCCTGGAGTCATCCTCCAAGCATAGCATGACTTCAGGGGCTTCTTTCATGACTTTTGGTGCTTTTTAGAACTCCAAGACTCAGAATTTCAGCTGTTTCACACCCGTCCAACCGACGTGGTTTGCAACGAATCCGTGGCAGTGAAACCGATGGACGATGTCGTAATTCACCACTAATCCTTCATAACCCTTCCACCCGAACTCACCCAAATCACACCTGATGTGTTTGTTTTTTTTCCCCCTTTTTCTCCGGTGACGTTCTGCAGCCGATGATGGACCTTCTGTCGCTCACCGGTGCCCGACCGGAAAACGGGGGTGTTTGAGCGGTGGTGGTGGTGTTCGGTTCGCGGTTGGAAGGGTCGAAGGTCGAAATGGGAGAACTGCTGGAGAACCGGCAGTCCAATCCGAAGAAAGGTCCACTCAAACCTGCTTCGAACGGCCAATCCTTCTGCCAATACATAGCGAGCCGCTCGAACGACTCCCGTGTGCTGTGACTGGTCGCGTGAACCACGGCTTCTGTCCATCTTCTGACTCCCTCGGTTTCCCAAGGGTCACCAGATTGCAGCTGTTGGGTTTTTAGTGAGGCAAGCTCTTTTTTCCACTAAAGGTGTTGTAGGTGCTCCTCTTTTCCGCAGTAGGTTGGATGGAACTCTGGAGTAGGGACCACCCATCCACCCATCTGCCCATCCTGTTTCACGCCGGCTCGGAGAACAAAGGTCGCCTGAAGCCGGTCGTCGCCCTCGTCTCGACTGCCTGGGTGGCGGATTTCGTGCATCGTTGGGGCACCTGCCTTCAGGTATTGGGTTCAGGGTTGAAGCAGTGGTAAAATTGTGGAAGGAAAAACCATCCATTCCAAAATGCAGAACACCCTGCTTTCAGCCCTTTCAACCTTTTAGATCTCTTTCCCTTCCACAATTCAACTGTCATTCAGAATATTCTTAATAACAACACCTGGAAGTACGAGAGCTTTGAGAGCTTGGCCACCTCCAACTCGGACATGCATCCATCACATTAGCCGCTCTCAAGTCTTCATTGGGCCGAAGGGCCGAAGGGCCGATTCTTTTGGTCTCATCTATCTCTGTCCTGGGACACTCCACTGGATCCTCTGTCCTTGGGGTTCTGGAATGCTTCGAAGACATACTCCTGCACCTGTTAGGACTCTTGGCTCAAATACCTTGGACCTGCTCTTATCTTCTTGTGTGAACCCGAACAACAACCACATGGGATTCAAGACAACAACCTTGTGTGGGGTATGGAAGGAGTTATCCCTTCTCTCATCTACATGTTCTTGCTTTCTTGAACCTTTTCCATTGGATCCTGGGACGTCTCGTAGGCTTGGACATGGCTATGTTGTTGAAACCCACTGGTGACCTTCTACTTGAGGATGGTGACACACAATCCGTTTGCTTCAGTGATTCAGCATACAACCACAATGTTTCCCTATGTGTATAGTATACATTCACCCCAACTCTGTAGCTTACACTACACCAACTTACTCCATATGTGGGTTTGTCTGGGCATAGGTTCTGCCGCTAGAAGCCCTCGCCCGTCTCATCAAAAAAACAAAGCCGCACGCTGTGTCCCGCCATGTCGGACTCGTCCCAGCGGGAACAAACATCATCAAGTCCCAGCGACTGGTGGAGAAGCCGAAACTCAATCTGGGCATGGTTTGCCTCACGCGGGTGCGCGCTGCGAAGGGGTCCCTTCGTCGTCGTGGGGTCTTTTGTGGACCCAGGGGTCTGAGGGTTCTGCCGGCAGTGAAAGGGGTTATATGGACCCGGTAGGGAAAATCTAGGAATACACTCTAAGGCTCCAACCACATCCTCAGAAGGTAGTTACAGACCCCCCCAACCACTTGAGGATGCACTATGTACAGCGACCTGCTTGAGTAAGGAGATACTCTAAAAACCAGCTCCACCACCTGAGCATCCACCATCTTGAAGCACATACTCCAAGTGGATCCCAAGTACAGCGCCAAAACCTACCCAAACCCATGCCTGCCATGGACGGTCCGGTTTGGTCGCTTCTCAACCCGCAAGACGGGCCACTCACATTCCATGGTTACGTGGATGGCATGGTCCCGAGTTCGGAGGACTGCTTTCCTGCCCACCGAGTGGAAGGGGTGCCATCCACTTCCATGTTAGTGAGTCGGAGTGTAATCCAAATCAGGCGGGGTTATGAATCAAGTCTAAAAACTGGGCTCTTGGAGCCGCACAGCACAAGTCACGGTCGCTACCACGACCTGAAATGGACGGTCCAGTTTGGCACGGACCGGGACTGAGCTGCCCGGCACACGAGCCGAGTCCCGTGGCGAGCCCCTGACATCCAAGGCGAGGCCGCGAGGCGCAACGCAAAGGCAGCGGACTGGAGAAGAGAATTAAAAAAAACACCTTTGAATTACAAGAAACACTCCCGGCCTCGAATTTGTGAATCAACGGTCCAAATCATGTAGTGAATTTATTGAACATGTTTAATTATGCTTCTAGAGTAAGCTATGCCAGCATTGCATGGCATATCTCAATGAATGCGTGTGTCTTCGTGTCTGTTATCAAAGGTTGGTAAACACTGGACACACTGATGCTTTTGGCTTGGCCCATGGTGGATTCCAGCTGCATGACAACAGTTCCTCTTTGGTGGGGTTATAGAATGCAAGCACAAGCCCTGTCGCAACGCAAGAGGATGTGCTCTTTGTGGATGACAACTATGTTGTCGCCAATAAGGGCCAAAAGGTTTCCATGAATCGTTTGAGGAGCTTAAATAAGCTTAAAAATCTGATATCAGTACAGTTCCCCCTGAATCTCAAATCTTCTACACTGGCTACAACTATCAGGCAATGGAAAAAGGACCTCCGCGGGCTGGAGCTTCGTCTTCAACCTGCCTGGTTGCTCATGTGGCGCCTACTTGCGTGTGACACGCTCCGCCACTGAGATTCAAGTCGATGTACTTGAAACATCTTGAAAAGATCCTGTTCAAGTTCTGGAAGCGAGCATCTTCACCTCATCCCCCTTTTATGAGAAACAAAACACACCTGTTCTTGTCACCTGCTGATAGAAAAGCCATGTTTCTTAACAGCGTAATGCACCGAATTCGACTGTTGTTTGGAGGATTCAAACATTGTGAAAAACAGCCTCTTGATTGAAACAATTCTGTCCAGTAGTAATGTCAAATCAAAGACCCCAACAATGAAAGAAGGAAATCGTTCATTCATCGAGTCTGCACAGCTACCTCCCTGCGATGTTCAAAGCAATGAGACCACATAGTGATGCGTCTTCCATCACTGAATCACCGAACGTATCTACTTTGTTCAGTCCATTAAACAGCCAATTGATGACAATTTTCTGCACTTTGCCTTTGGCTGCACCCATCATCACCCATCTATTCGTTCCAGACTTGCCGGATGGCTAAACATGTCCTTGACTTGTGACAGCTCGCAATACACTTCAGAGCAAAGCTTTAAACGCTAGGGGTAGCATATATATGACCAATTATGACGCTCCAACGAATATCTCCACTCACTAAACCTAGGACGATGCACCTCCTCGACCGGATTTCATGCGCGGAGCGCCTCGCCACCGAGAGACGATTGCTGACAGTAGAGCCTGCACGCGGAGCAGGTCATCCCCAACGCGACACAAAGCGTCCACCGGTGGTCAACGTCGTTTATACTCTGTCCACGGGTGGTCAACAAGCGTCCACCGGTGGTCTTCCGTTGAAGCTTGACCTGGAACAAGCTAGCTTGACCCCACGGTGGATGTCGGAGACATTCCCGCTCAGGCTCGCAACCTGGGTCACCTGAGTGGAGAAGGGATAACCGACAGTGTCTACCCCAAACTTCGATGGTTGCTTTTGGACGGTATCAGCAGGCAAACTGGAGGTTTGTCAGCTGAAACAGCTTTCACCCAGGATTTTACCTGTTTTTCCGATCATGGTTCAGCCCTTCAACTGGTGATCTGCTGCCGAAGCGGTCAAGTTCAGGGTCAAAAACCACCTCGAAGATCCTCGAAGACTTACTGTCACCTTTACAGAATCAAATCAGCAGTATCAGTATGTCATTGGACCAGTATCCAATGGTCCCTGTGCTCTTCCTGTGTCGCAAAAGTTCTTTCTTTTGCTTCTTTTTCCGGAACCTTCAAGTCAGTGTCTTCACGAATATGAAGGAACCGTTCCTCCTCCTGCCCTGCGCAGCAGGTCGGCCGAAAGATGTGGGAAATCTCATGAACTCACATGATCGGCCCGAACTCTCACTTCAGACTTCACCTGATCGGTGGTACCAGTGGTGCAACCGTGCAACCTTCATTCAAGCGCCATCCTTCCACTGCTTCCAGACCAGCGACGACCAGGCCTCGCTTGGGCGACTCCTCGGAACAAGGGTTGGTCACTGTGAATGGACCAAGTCACACAAGGTGGTAGGAGTCAATGACTGTATTTGCCAGGTCCAAAAATGAAGTTTTGATTCAAATGATGTGGGGATATTCAGAAAACAAATAGGATTATGAAATGAACATTCATGGCATTCCCCCTCTTGGCCTCAGGCGCCAAATGAACAGCCACTTTGCACATGTGAAGGATCTCTCTCATGGATTTGGGCCCACCACACCCGAACAAAACTGTCATGGAACCTTGACGTCAACAGTTTACAGCCGAACAATATCTGTTTAAGTGGGTGTGTGTTGAGATAAGAGAATTTAAAAACACCCCCCTGGAAGTAGGAATATCGACCCAAACCCATGGTTGGGGGTCCCCGTATGGGTTTAAACACACCCCAGTTACTCTTGGGCTCCCCAATGACTCTTATAGTGGAGTAGTGGAGTGCCTCTCATGACTGGTGTCCCTCTCATTTACATGGATCAATCTGGGCCCCCCCTGCCGTATCTTTCACTTGAAATGGTCCAAAAAGAGTTCGTTCAGTCCTGAACTTGCAAGTCAATTACATCGAACCAAGGTTGTCACGGTTTGCCTATCTTTCCAAGGAATTGGGACTTGGGTGTCGCCTTCTCCCCACCCCTGGGCAATTTCTGGGCACCCCAGCATCCTCTCCAAGGTTCTCCTGTCGTGCAAGTGCACATGAAAAAAATAAACGATCAAGCACTCGGCCTCCTGCATATCCAAACCATCCACGTATGGAATAGTTGCTGACAATCGAATCATACATGAGGTTTACTGTGTGCAACTAAATACTACATAGATGAGTTTCATGGAGATGGTCTGCCCGGACAAGTACTTCCTGACCATCGCCACATGTCAAAGAGAAGTACGTCCTGACCCTGTCGCCCGGCCATCTTTGGAACAAACGTGAACACATATATACCAGCAGTCAGTAAGGGGTGCTATCCATGGAGGTTAGGGGTGTCCATTATCTCACTCAGGGACTAAACACCCCGACATGTGACTCCTGGTAGACAGACCCATCCTATACCAAAGCACCTCACATCTGAACCTTTGCAATGAGTGTCCAATGGAACCCCAACAATTTGTTCAGGTGAGTCTATTGGGTCAAGTCTCCCCCTTGCATGGTCCAAGTGTATGAACCTGCCTGCATCTGACTCATCGATAAGTGAACCCAAACAAATTCCGTGGATGTGGATGAACAAGAGAACCCTTTGGATTGACAGGGTCAAAAAGACCTTGGATGCTCTGCCTTGGATCTCCTTGAATCAGGCTTGACCTTCGTGCTTAGCAGACTTTTCTTCGTTTGTGCCATACTCTCGAGCTTGAGATGACTCCGGCTCGCTCGACTCCTTGGAACCGAAGTCCGACAAGGACCTCGTCCGGGCCGTTGGGGGGGAGCACCGGGGGGAGCCAACCACTGGGGGATGGGTGAAAAAAGCGCTCGCAAACGCTCCGTTCTGGAAGGCAGGGTTTGATTCCATGAGATGAAGGGGCATCGAAACTTCTTCAAGTGAGAAGCCCTTCACTCAACAATAGGTGGTTTGTTGTGTGAAACTATTAGCGTCTCATGGTTCACCCAATTATAGTGGTGAGTGGATCTACAACCCCCCCAATTAGGATCTCTCGAATCCCAAAGAGCATGTTTGGAAAACAACAAATGCCACTAATTGAGCCAAGAGTCTTGAGGGGGTATGGATCCACCAATGTCGTGTGCATCTGCATTGAGGATACAAAACCAATTTGTCAAGGGCTGTAGGGCAAAGCCCCATCATTCTTTAGTGCTTCTCCAAGCCATGTATATACAATGATATATATATATATATATACATATCTGTGCAGCCACACAACAGTAGTACAGTTCCCGGATAAAGAATATATCAAACAATCACTGGTGGTCCAAGGATCCTCAAGGTTCCAAGGAGGATCCTCAAGGATCCTCAAGGATCAGCTTGCTCAAACCTAAAAGAAACCATGCAGTGTCTTGGAAGGTCACCCTTCTTTTGGACCTAGAGAGACCTGCTGGTCCTGTCGACCTTGGGTCCTGTCGACCTCGGGTCGTCGCCGTTGCACACGGATTTGGTTGACCTCATGCACTGAGCTTTCTCACCTGTTCATCTTCAGAGACACCGAGATCCCGAAAGGGTTCTGCAATGTTCTAACCAGTGGCCTGTCCCCCCAAAAAAAAGAAAAGAAGAAACATCTACAAACCAGTCCCACCAAAACCGAAACGACCGTCGCGCTTTGACACAGTCGTCCGCTCGATCACCGAGACCCATTCTCCGCTTCAGTGCGAATTAGCTTCAAAGACCTACTAGTAGCTTCTTGTTACTACAGGTGCAACGATTCCCAAGGAAATTTCCTGTTCCTGGTAGTGATGGCCTCCAACCTTGTTGATCCCCTGTCCGAGGCCAAGACATAGACATGGAGGCTTCCTAGGCGCAGGAAGATGCGTTTCTAGTTGCAGGGAGTGCATGGCCAGCTGCACAGATGTCAGATTTAAAAGACAAAAAAAAACCAACAACGGCAAACAGCATCTTTCTGCAACATAGCCTGACCCCCAAACCACAATAGCTAAATTTGTGCAAAAAAAAACACGTATGAGTTGTCCTGCTTCTGGCGTCTGAGCGGACTCCCAAACAGAGACCTTCCCACGGTTTAAGGGGTGATGATGTATCAACTTCCTGCTTTAGTGATAGTGAACTCTAATTGGTTGCTTTGGGACGCCCAAATGGACGCAGGTCTCACAACAGGAAGAGCTAGTTCGCACAAGACCCAAGCCCCCATGGAGCGCAAGACCCAAGACATACCATGAGCCATGCCATGAGACGTCACCCAAGATGGCCAGCTATGCTGCTACGCCGCTACACGGTTGTGTTCTTTGATTAGGCCTGGGACCAGGAGGAGAGTGGGCATCAGTGTCCCCTTTTGAGATCTATACAAGTCCAGTCAGTCCAGAGATTCCGAAAGTAGGAATGCAGCTGGTTTGTAGACGCCTTTTTTTTAACTCAAAGCTTTGTGTTTTGCACATGGAACTAGAATGGTCCCTTGTACCTTTATGCTCTCCCCAAAGGCCAAAGGTGGCGGTACAACATCCTCATGAGAACCCTATTCAATGATTCAATGCTTGAGCACCAGGAGAGACAAGTAAGCAGCAAACATGATCGTGGCACGAAGAAACACATTCAACTCGATGTGTGTGTGTGTGTCTTTCACATCATCAAGGCACCTCTGTCGATTTCTGCTGTGACGAGCCGCTTTCTCCGCCGATCCGCCAACCCCCCCCGCCAACTCCCGTTCGACCCCGCGGCAGAGACGTTGGAGGATTGGGTGTTCCAGGCGGCCTCGGTGGAAGCGGACGACAAGGATGGTTAGAGCACAGGACCAACGGACGCACAGGACGTCTTTCTCCCAAAAAGAGCTGTCAAGTGTCAAGTGTTGAGCTCCAGCGAACTTGACTTCAAGTGTGTTTTTTTTCTTGAAGCATGGACCAAACTCTGGCATACCAGCTGATTACCTACCCCCACCCTCTGATTTCAACATGGTTATAGGATTGGCCATCTATATAGTTGAGATGTCAGAATTCCTCACTATCCTCACTAAGTGTTGAAAAGGTTTGAGATGCTCTAGGGATTTGTTGGATATCTTGGAATACACAGGTCGGCTGAATGGTTTGAGCATGCCTCACGTCGCACTAGAAGTCTTCGTCCAAAACAAAACTTGATTCTGAGGTCTTTACTCCAGAAATTTACCCCCGCCGCCGCCGACTGCAAGCCTTCTTGACCAGCTGTTATAACATGTTATATATTATAAGCTATATATATATAATAGTGGAACTGGTGTGCAGTTTCATTATATATTTTACCCAAACGATCCATGTATGAAAGATTTCCTACATCAGTAGGGTAGCTTTAAGATGTTTTGAGGGTCAATAGTCAATAGGTAAATATTCAAGTCCCAATGATCAATGAGATTCCCCAAGTGGCCCCAACGTCCCGCGCGCACGTCCCGGGCCCCCAGCGGCAAAGGAATTCCGCCGCTCCTTCAACTGCGAAAGCCGTACGTCACGCATCACCTGTCGAGTCTCCAGCTCCTCTGCGCAGATCGAGACATTGAGGCAGCGACAAGTCAACCATGTTTCAGATGCGTTTGGGAAGACCACCTCAACTGATGAGTTACCCCAAGTCTTTTAGCTGTGGAGACTCAAACGCCGCCCAAGTGGGCCACAGCGCCATCGATTCACCCCAAATTGTTCTTTGACTGTCAAGAGCTCATTTATGAAAGAAACCTAGGGTGGGAGCAACCCCAGGGCTTGACATATTGAACTGTTTGGACATCGAATGATGTTGAGACCGAAAGATACTGAATCCAACAAAATTGTCGTGAAACACACGTGCGTTTTAGGGGAGGTGAAAGTTAGGTAGTATAGGGTCTGGCAAACTGTTGAATCCCAGAACGACGATTTGTTGCGCTATCCAAATATGGTCACAAGCTAACACTTGCCTCAAATGCAAACTCCATTCGTTTTTAGCCCAGCCAGTGAAGAATATGAATCAAGCACAAACATCAAGCTGAGGACAATAATTTTCCCTGTAGTTGCAGCCGAGTCTGACCTCCAGCTGGTATTGAACCGCCAGCTAACGCCAGATTTGTCTGCGTTTGTCCTACAGCTTTGGGCCGGACAGCAAAAAAAAGGTGCGACTTCAAAGGCGGTTGCTGTCTGCGACCTTCTTGATGGCGTGCTGCACCCGCAACCCACGGTATTTGATACTTGCGCACACATACAATGTTCTCAGTCTGCTGGTTCCCTTCGCTTCGCAATCCACAGACCAACATGACCACAGCCCCTGGCAACTGAGGCTTGACCCACTGTGTATCTTACCAATTTGGTATTTGTTTAGCCCTCCACCTCACCAGAAAATGCCACAAGCGCTTCTGGCATGGCAGTCTGCAACTTGCAGCGGTTGACTTGTTTGATGGAAGATCTCGGCATCAACAGCTGCACCGGTTCTAAACCTCTAAATGACCCAACGAAATGACTAGTTACAGCAATTTCTTCTCCACGTGGCAATCCGGCGACTCCGACAGTAAAGAGTGACTAATTCAAATGTTATACTGCTGCATACTGCTCACTACTGACGTCGACCAAACGTAGAAATATATATATATATATATGTAATTCGTGTGACCCACTTAGCCACCCACCCCTGCTCCGACGCATTCCCAAACAAACCTCACGTTCCACTCGGGAACACGCTCCCCGGGCTCTGTCCTCCTGCATCTGCCCCTGCGCCGCTTCTTCCGCCTGACCCGAAACTCGGCCCCGGCCCTGACCGCCCGGAGAGCTCGGGAGCGGAGCGAGACGAAGCCCTGACCCAACGGCTGGTGCGAAAGAACGATGCGATCGACCCAGGGGCACGTTTGGAGTCGATCTTCGACTCCGTGAGGAGACCAAGTGAAAACACTTGGTCTAGTCCGGAGAAAGCTCAATGAAGGGAAAACACCGGAAAAAGCACTGCAGGTGAAGGAGCAATATGACAGTTTCACCATCTTCAATCTTCGCGATGTTGTTCATAACATGATATTCCCACATTCTCGTGGGATTCAACATACATCTACCTTGCTTAAATATCTTAAACTACAATGCTTTCCAAGAAAACACCATTTGTCCCCGGATCCAATTGTTAATGCTCTGAGAAATCCCCTCCATCAGCCGAACTTTCTTCAACTCAGCAAGTTGATCGAGGTCCGACCAGCAAAACCTTCTGCATGACAAGCAATGTTGATGTCAGAATCAGGATGGTATACCAGGAGTCACAAGACGCGGCGCCGAACTTGGAGGATAGTGGTGCCCCTGTCACATCCACTCACAGGATGGGACTAAAATACAACTCTTTTGTAATTCCTGGTGCAACAATATGAATTTTCTATCTTCAAGTATCTGAATTGCCATTGAAGCTGGGAAAGCTTCTGGAGTGAATGGCTTTTGTCTCATGAAGAGACGCCGCAAGTGCCGTTTTTAGATCATGGGAATGTGAACATGTAAAACAAAACAATACCTTCTGTTTGTTGTCTTTTCGCTTCAATTAGAAGTTTCAGGTGCAGCTGTGGGCATCCGAAAAGGTTCTTCGAACCTTGGTTCAGTTTGCCAGGATCGGGAACCATCTGGTATCATCTGGTCATCTGTGTTGTCCATGGACCCCTGCATGAACCACTGCGGAGCGCTTTCGGTCTCTCGAGCGCAGCGCAGAACGGCGGAGACACTCCACGCGCCTCCTGCCCTTCTAGGATGAAGCGCGCCAAGACTGACGATGGATCCAACGACGGATCCAGGTCATTGCAGGACGAGGGAACTAGGTCATTGCATGGACATGTCCACTGAAACACCCACTGATGATCCATGATGATCCCAAAGAACAGTGACCATCAAAGACTGTGCCCACTCGGTAACCACCCACGACTTTCCTTAAGGACGTGGGACGTGACTCGTTCAGCACACAGCTGGAAGCTTTGGTTCGATCAACATTTGATCCTCGAAGTCAGACCACCAACCAATGGACTTTTGTTGCTCTGCTCAGTTCTCACGGCCTCTCAAATCTGCCATTCCTAGGTCACAGGTGTGGTCATGCCATGTTATGACTCCAGTCATGACCCTTCGAATCTTAAGTCCAACCCAAACACGCCGTCCGGAAGCCACATGGATCCACAGTCCTGGAAGCCACACCTTGCTCATCATGGGTACGATAGGCTTCCACCGCCTTTTGCAGAAAAATGGATTCGTCTTCCTGGGCGCTTGAGAGCTCAAGCTGAGTTCGGGTTATGAGATCAAGGGTGGGTGGATGGGGTACAGAAGGAAGGATGCAAGCAAAGTATGTTTCTCTTCACTGCGCTTGGGAGGGAGCATCTGTTGGCTAGCGAGGAAGGTAAAATAGGTAAATTTGGAACCCTGTGACCGTCTATGAGTCTATAATGAATGGATGATGATTCAGGAGTTCAGTCGGGTCACATTTGGAAGCACTCCTTTCACTAGCAAATGGATGGACATCGTCTGAATTTATATGGTACCGTGAGACTGCTGGACCCTTCGCACACACCGGCCTACGGCCTAGAACCGATTTATTTATGCCATTTCATGAGCACTCAAAGAACCAACCAACCAACCAACCAACCAACACTTCCTGCTTCCTCCACCTCATCAAACAAAACACCGGTGTGTCCTCCGTGTCATCCGGTGCTTGGAACCAACGGGTCGGTCCTGTAGCGTGAGGAAGTTCTCCACATAGATGGGCTGCGCCTGGCGGCGACCGAGCCAAACGGTGGACGGCCGCGGTGTGGCCGAGATGGAGTGGAATGGTGACATCCAAGGTCCGGAGCGAGTTGTTGGGTCCAAATGTTCATACACCATCCATTGTTATCATGTGCTTGCCAAGAGTATGCTTATATATATATATACATATCGTATATATATATAGTTATATATATATATGATCATATCTGTATATGGGGAAATGAAATCCAAGCATCTCAGTCTTGGCACAGTCATCTCAGTCATCTCGAGTCCGCCATTGGGGTTGGCGTACGTGGATTCCAACATGCCAAGGGGAGAAACGTCACGAAATTACATGTGAGCCACGCCACAGTGTCATGATGCAACACATCACATACCCATACCAGCCCCATCCCCTCCCAGGTGGGCGGGAGACGACAGAATGGTGGCCTATTCAGGTCTGATAGCAGTTATTATTCAGGTCTGATGGATCTTCACCAAAGTTACCACAGGCCAAATCAATGATATATGGAAAAGGATTTCACCACCCATTGTTTTCAGGAGACGGCCATATTTGCCAAGAATGCCTATCCGTGTTCATGCGATGTGAAATCTTCCAACTGGTCCAGCTGAATGCACAGTTCCTAAAGGCACCTCCTCCTGCTCGTCTGGATCCTCCTCGGCCTCTGCAAACAGCCGCACTGCTGGCAACAAAGAGCAATATATATATATATACGATATATATATATATATGTGTTGTCCATCAACAGGATTGATGTACATACTTTGGACGAACTGTTCAGCTAGGCTCACGACCTCCTGCTCTTCTAGCTCCTGCTCCTCATCGATGACCTGTCCACAGTTAAAGGCTCAATTGGTAGGATCATTACGGAGTAGATAGAACAGGTTAACCATGCATGTGTGTTGGTTTGTTGCTTTTACCTTACGCTGCGAAAATAAAGGCTCTGACTAGTGCTTTACCGGATGGGATAAAGTTGCTTATTCTCATGCATGCATTCAAGCAACAACACTTGGCTCTTTGTTTGGTCCATGTCATCTCCATATTCTACCTACTCCGCAACGACTTTGATCCCAGTGACCCAAGTAGAAGCAACAAGAACAGGTAAACACATAAACACGAAGGGAAGGACCCCTAAGGATCCCCAGAACATTGATGTTTCCCTCCTAGTCTTGAGACACCCTCATTGAGAAGAAACAACACCCAAACACGACTAATGGGACTGCCGCCCCATTGACCCCCAGTCAACCACCCCAACTGATCGGTAAATGTTCCATACATGGAGTGTCTGGGACAGATCTCTACACACCGTCCTTGGAACCATTCATTTTCTTTGGCGACGCCCGACGTTCTCTCACTTAGAACTATCGGTATATATCTTCGTACGGCACATCATGTAAACCCGTTGCTGACTGCTTCCTTTGAGTGACGAATCCACTATTATCGAACAGATCCATAAGCTATACATCCTGATGGGAATCCCCTTCCACCGTTTTTTTTTTTAAATTTCCTTTGAACATCTTTGAACCCAACACCGAGGCTGCGCGGGGCTCGCAGCGGTCGTCTTCGCATCGGTCGTCTTCGGTCCGTGGTCGCCCCGCGCCAGCTTTTGCATCTTGTCCTCGAAGGCCCAACGATTCCTGGTCCCCCCCCGGGTCGCGTCACTCGCGTGCGTTTTTCTGCGGCGAAGGAAGTTCGGGGGTCGTTTCCTGAGACCTCCAAGTAGCAGCTGCTGTTGAGCAACTCCATGAATCACAGACCCACTGACCCACTGACCCAATGCCAAAGTGATCATGGTCTGATGGTTGGTGGATAGGATTGAGATGGGTTGTTGCATCTTGCATCTGCGATGGAGTTGTGATAGGTAGAAACAAGGACCCGATGTGGATGTAATTGGGATGTCCAACTGTGTCAATCTTTGTTGCATTTCCTCATCCATGGCTGGTGGAATATGAGGATCAGGGTGGTGGATGGAACACAAATTTCCAGGGTTCCTCTTTCAGGTTCAATTGTAATCTGCAAAATGCTCCATGTTCAATTGCGGGCATTCATAAATTGCCAATGGTAGTGACTAGTGACTAGTGGATGGTGAGAACACTTCCCAAGGAAAGGAACCAATAAAACTTAAACATCACTTGGGAACAACAACAATCAAGCCCGCATATGATCACATCTGTGTGTATCTGTATATGTATATAATACATCACTTGGGAGATGAGCTTATTATTGAGGCTCAGCTGGTGATTCACCTATCTGTTGAAATGTCATAGCTAGGCTCCTAGAGAGCTTGTCCCAGCGGTCAACCCCTTGACACTTTCAAGTCAAACATGTTGACCTATCCCACTTAGTCCAGGTACCAACAAAACAGGAACCGTTCGCACTGGAGCTGCCCTAGTGCATAATATCACATTGACATAGCTATGATCTTATGGTCTGATGGTACCATTGCCAAAAAGACAAAAACATTCCACACCTGCAGACCTTGCTGGTTGTATAGCAAATAAATCCAACTAATGAAGATCTTCACTGGACATGGATTAAGCAACTGATCTCAAGCTTCTTGTATCTTCCTGCTGGACATGGAACAGGCAAGACCACAGTGCTCCTCGATTTCAATTCAGGCTTGGCAGGTGATCGTCAAAGTACTCAAGCATACTCAAGCGAAAGTCACACGCAGATCGGGTTGAAGTGCTGTCCAAGTCCTTTGGACCAGTATACCAACAAAGATGTAAGGTAACTCAAAAAAGAGCAGGACAGTACTGACTCTGACATATATATATATACACATAATTCTAAATGTATTCTACTACTTCGCCTGATTCAGAAAGCCTTATGCATGCGTTGCATGCATCCGTCAGCTTCAGCTTCGTGAACCTCACAGGCGACCCGGCCGGGACCGATTCCTGAGCCAAGCCAATCTGAGCCGAGCGTCCTTTGCACGGCTTCTTCCAACTTGGTGAACTCCTGAGTGGGAGAAAGTGGACCAGGCTGGAACACCCTGCAGGGGAGCATGGAACTTTGAGGTTCTCATGAGTTCCATGAAAACACAGTTCTGAAACGAAACAACATTTAGGGCCTGCCAGGCTGCCTGATCTTTGAAGATGTCCCTAGGGCCCCAGCTACTTCAAAAAAGGTCTCAAACACCCCGAACAAAACTTGTATAAATAGCTTTTCGGGAGTCTGTTGGAGCTCTAGAAAACAGATGAAAAAAGACCTAGTGCGAGGAGCGATCAATCTCTGCGAGCAACTGCTCAGCTGCTGAGTGACTGAATTCTTTTGTGGAGAATACAATCGCCCATACACAAAGGGTTTGGACTAGTAACAAGAATCTAGTAGAAACAATAAGCTTCTAGTAACAGGTGCATCGCTAGTAGTAACAGGTGCCTTACTAGTAGTAACAAGAATGTATATAGTTCTTTATCCGGATCCACTGAGAAGGTCATTCGACCCCCCGCGGTGCCAGCTTTCCCCCAACCTTCTCAGGAGGTAGTTGGAGGCCTATAGCTCCTAGTGTATGTACAGTAGGTACAGGTTTAATCCCTTTGATCCCTTCTGGGAGATCTCAGTGGGTCAAATTCCAGCCCAGTTCGCCCAGTTCTCGAGTCCGTCCATTTCTGCCCGATCCAATGGTTTGGAATGGTTTGGATGGAGTCCGCCCAGGTCTGCAGCTGAAATTTGTGGTTCCAGCTGATGTGTATAGACTCCCTGAGTTTCTTCGACAACGAAGATGTACATGTTTCCACCTGTTGATTTTTTGTTTTTGTGGGCGGGGAAACCAATGTTTCCAGAAAGGTTAAAGGTTAGGGCGTATGGAGTCTGTTGAACCCCATGAGTCATATGAACTATACCCCAAAAATACTCTTGACATCCCTGGACCCAACATGGTCCCTATATTGATCCCTATTGCCTGTCCCGTCTGTGCCAGTACTTTTTGAGGCGATTCTTCTCGCCATGTCGTCACGGAGCTCTTCCCGTTGTTCGTCCAACCCGGACACCTCCGGCCCGCTCCTCCGTCAGCTCTTCAGCAATCACCTGGAAGAAGTTCGCCTCAGCGATCCGCAGCGTACTGCGAGCAACGCGTGGGAGGGAAACGAAGGACCCCCAACATCCAGTGGAAGAGGAACAAATTGGATGATAATGTAGGGATAGTTCTTGCACATGATTCATGTTGGGACGGCAAAAGCAAGGTTTCAACTTTCAAAGCCCCAGAGGATGGACTTGTTCATCCACTTGTTATCTTTTGAGACCCGCTTGCCTCCTCACCGCCTTGAATATATATATATAATATATATATATAGTGTTATATTAATATGTTTTGTGAAGCCCGGAGGCGGGTTCTCGGTTCTGCGCGTTTTTCAAGGAGCATGGAATGAGATGATCCGTGTGAATAGACAGTGAAAATCTGTGCTACAACCCTTGGAGCCTTCTATGCAGGGTGCAATCTCGCGGCATCCTCTCAGCTACAATTAACATTTCGTCGGATAAGGACGGTTAACAACTGTGATGGTCGTCACTGTACATACACGCCTTAAGATTAACACGGAACTTGAGGCACAACTCACACATTTAACATGGCAGTTGGCAGGTCAACAACCCTGGGGAATACTAGGATTCCAGCAGCGACTGAAAGCAAACAAACATACTTGGTTTCTCATTTCGAGCTCTAGAAAAATATAAAGGAATCCTATGAAATTTTGGCCATTCCACTGGTCGCTTCTTTTACTCCACTGCCACTCTGCTGGTCGCTTCCATCTGGCATCATCCAACCTGACCGGAAATCAGGCAACCAGGGCTGCAAGGTGGACAGTCCTGTAACCCCAGGCCTGGCCAAGGCAGCTTCTGCAAGCGATTCCTGAAGTATTTGGCAAGAAGCAGGAGCTGAAAGGCTGCGCAAAGTGAATGCTTGCTTGGGTGGCCTGAGGCGAAGTGTCTCAGTAGGGATTGCGCACAGCTCCTGCAACCAAAAAGCAACAACACAAAAATAATATGTGTTTAACAATGACAAAACGTCTCATTGCTAGTTTGCCTCTCCACTGCTTTTATGCAACGCATGAGATTAAACTTGTCTGACATACTGCTTCCCCAGTCTTCCTCAGCCAGCCATATAGGACTGACCTGCTCCATTCGAGGCTGTGTCCAGGAATGGGAATTTTAGCTGCTTCGCAGCGTTCCCTCTCATCTTCAAAAAGTAGCCCAGGCCCTACACTCAGGCTCAGGATGGCAAGCTTGCAAAACAAGTTGCAAATGACTCTCTCTCAAAAGTCGGAGCCGAGCTGACATGTGGGCTGCAGAGCCGGTGGCACTGTGTTTAAGCAGACCCTGAGGCCTGGAGCCCTGTGCCCTAAGCCCTAGCGCTGCCCGAGCCCTGTCACATTCAGGGAGCGGCGCCAAAGATCACACCAGCCACTCACCACAGGGCCAGCCCCACCCTGTCTCCCATCTGTAGTGCGCATCAGTGGCTTTAGGGTTGCCACTTCATAGATCACACAGCCATAGGCTAAGGACCACAAATCTACTTCCTTTTGGAGAACATCACGAAACTGTGCCACTGTCCAGCTGGAAACTTGTGGCCTGAGCTGGAAACTTGCAAAGACTGACCTGGTGGAAATTGCGACCCAGCTCTGCGCTAAAATATATTGCCAGCAACTTGGTGGGATTGTGAGCCGGCATGTTGCAATCTTCTTGCCTAATATTAGTTTGTCAAAGTGCCCACATGACACCCCTCGCTAGCATCACGCCAAGCATGCATGGCACAAGGCCTGCACGCTAGCTAGCAGGCACAAACCTTGGACCGCAAGCTGCCAAAGCAATGCCCTGGCACATGTTACGCATCCTAGCTTATTGGTCATCATCACTCATGCTCAATACTCCTTCAACAGTTTGCAGGAACAGCATGCTTGGCAATGAACAGTAGTCTTTTTGTATGGTCGGCCTTGGTTTGAAACGCATATGCTTTGGCAACCAAGGCACTGCGTATGTCAATCCACCCTTTGGGCACAGCAGTCTAAGACCAAGGTGTTGCCCCTCACAAAAAACATTGGCCACGTTTGTGTGGGCAATCATGCTTTTCAAACAGCATGCGGGATACCTTTTCTATCTAAGCAGGAGGGGGCCCTCACTCAATGCTGGTTGAGCCATGCTCCAACCACAGTACTAGTGTGTTTCTAGGCTATATTGAAAGGTCTTGTGGAGTTGCTAAAGGCAATGCAATCGCAAGACACAGTAAATGTTTTCACTACCTTTTGCTGCATGCATCCCAGCTCCAGAAGCATTGAAGGGTGATCTGCTAGTATGAAACAGTGCTAGAATCTCAGACAGATGGTAGTGGTCTGGAAAGAAAGAAGTCATGTCCCCAAGACCCTTCAGTGCAACCAAATGACCCTTCAGTAATCATCTCTTGTCAGGGGTGTGTCGCAAAGGGTCATTTAGGTGCTTTGAAGGGTGCACTGTGTGCGTTGCTGACTGGTGGACTACCAAGATCACAGGCCTGTGTTGCAACACAAGCTTCATGTACAAATCTATTGGTAGTTGACAATGAAAAAGCGCAGCTTTGCAGCGGCACCGAGGTTGGTG